TTTTACTAGATTAAAGAATAATTCCAAGCTGGATCAAAACTAAACCTCTCTGGGTCCCACTTCACCTAGCTCCTCTCTGCCACGCAAATCCTTGACCTAATCTGATATGGGGATGTGGAGAAGAAGCAATTGAAACAGAGGTGGCAAGGGTCTTAGAAATATAAGCTGCAGAGACAGCTTTCATTTTCAGAGTTAAATCATGTGCCCTCTACTAGTCATTTCATAAAGGGTGTTCTTAATTCTTGTTGATTCAAAAATGAATAGTTCTTCTGCTATGGGGGTCCATGAAGGCTCCTCTTTCGTTACACAGATACATTAGCTCCTTCAATAGTACTCCTTTCTTTATGTGTTCCTTCATTCTGTGCAAAGCAAACATGTGTTGCTTCCTAGAGCTTAAGCAAGGAGAGAGTGTATTTGTGCATTTTCTATGTAACTGAACTTTCATCCAGTTGTACTTTTTTTTTTTTTTTAATAAAGACTTGCTTTCTTTTCAACCTACAGAAATTTTTTAGATTTTAATTTATATGTAGTAGCCAAGATGGCACTAAAGTAGTTGTCTTAGATACTAATTGTACTGATTCTAGAATCTAAGAAAAATGTCATTAAATTAAATTCTCTCAGTAAGCAATGCAAACCTCATATTTTGCCAGGTACTTATTTATATAAAAACAAGCATAACCATGCTACATTTTCTGTCCTAATCTTATCTCAGTGGGAAAGATTGTAAGAGTTATGGATCTGTCCACCAGAGTTTATCTCCACTTTGAGACAAAGCTGGAAGATACTTTCTAAGAGACAAAGATATAGGAACACCTGTTTCCACACATCCCTTGCTCTCATTGTTATTTCATCACCAAGTCAGCTTCTGTTCCCTTTCTCTCCAGTCATTTATCTGTTCCAGACCACAAAAATAGGACTGAGGCATCTTTCAAGTGACCAATAATTTCTACAGATCATTAAGTGAGAAGGTCAGAGCTGGATGTTAAGCATACTATGTCATCATGTTAGTTAGCTTAATAGCTGATGTCAGTGTCTCCCTGATTATCAGCATCTGATATCACTCTAGAATAGCAATCAACCTAAGGTTTATAGTTCTTTTGGAGGTGCTTGGATGGGCGTCAGAGGAATTCTTTGTAATTATTCACTGAATTTTCAGTACAAGTATACTTTCATCATATTCTTAGAAAATTTGCTCTATGATAAGTGTTTGTTCCTTTAAGTTCTAACAGAAATATGAATGGATTCTCATATTCTCACATTTCCCTCCTTTATAGACTACTTGCTTCCACAATTTGCTTAAATTCCTTAGAGGAGAATTCTTTGACCCTGTTCATTTTTGCCTGTGTGAACTATGCTGTGTTTTGCATTAAGTTGAGAAACTTAATGGTTTCTCAAATGGGTGGTTCTTAGCTGGGAGGTTGAGGGGTAGTGAGTGGTGAATGGATAGGGGAATGGAAAAGTGTCAAGTAATCGTCAATGAAAGCTTCCCTGCCCCTTCCTATCCCTTCCCGTCATTCCTTAAGGGTTTAATCATTGTTCTTGCCCACCCTCACCTTCCATGAATGAGTGAATACTTCACTAGTGTTTTCCTGGTGTGGTAGTTAAATTTGTATGTCAACTTGTATGGGCCTGGTTGAGTGACCAGGCAGCTGGTAGTAGTTATTCCCCATGATGAGACTGGTAATCAGCTCCATGGTAGGATCTACAACAAGCAGCTGAGTAGTTGCCTTTGGGATGTGGTCTGCTTCCTGTATATAAGGAGAAGCCTTGGAGATAGTCTCTAGCCTATGGTACACTTGGACCCTGCATGCAGCCTTGTCGTTGTTCAGCAGCCTGCCATGCTCTGCCGACCTTGGGACCTACAATGGACTTGAATTAATGGTCTGCCATGTGGTTTAGTAAATCGGGATTGTGCCATTTTATTTGTCGACTTTGGGTTTGTTAGCCTCAGCAGCCAGTAGCTGCCTGAGTGAAGAAATGCCTCTAGCTTCAATGGGCCAGGAAGAGCAAGAGGCAGAGCTGAAGCCCAAGGTTGAGGGGCTTTCACCCAGTCCCTAGAACCTGGCACTTTGAACTTGGACTTAGAAGTCTCCAGACTGTGAGAGAATAAACTCCTGTTTGTTAAGACCATACCATTTGTGGTATATTTCTGTCAGAGCAGCACTAGGTAATCAGAGCACCTGGCTTCAGATTGACCTGAGGATGCAGGTTCTATAAGAGAAGTGCAAAATGTGAGAGTGGATAGAAAACAGTTGCCACAGATCCTCCTAATAGGGTGAGTCAGGGACAGTGAATCATTTTGTTTCAGTCTCCTGTAATCTATTCATAGTACTAGATTGCTGCCTAATGTGGGCTATCTTCATCATCATTTTTTTTTTGTTATTATCATCATCATTGCCCAACATCTCACTCTACCAATACTCCTCCACCTTTCCTCTATTGTTAATTGCAAATATCTCTATTTTTATAATGCTTCCTTTTGTTTAGCTCTTCTGTTCATCAGAAAAATGACTATAAATATCATTTATTTATTCAATCTATGTACACTTCTCAAGTACCAATTGTGTATTAAGCAGTTAACTAGTCCCAGGGTTACAATAATGAGAAATAAAGACTGTTGCAAGTTACTTATAGTCCAATGGGGAAAACAGAAAAAGTAATAAGAGGTATAAAAAAACTTGCTATGGTCAAATGTAGAGGATTATTGTTTGGGTCAAGGATGTTGTACAAAAGAAGGAACTGGTCTCTTCTATTTAGACGGTCAGAAAAGAATTCATAGAAAGGTGATATTTAACTTTTTTATGACACTGGGTCAATTGAAGTCTGGGAGCAATGAGAGAGGGCAACCCAGAGAAAGAAAGAGCCTGAGCAGAGACACAAAACCCTGAAAAACCCAGCTGATAGGAGGGCAGATATTTTATTCACCTGTGTTGTCCCATTGCCAAGCTGAATATTAACCTGCTTAATACCTTTGGATGGAAGAATGAGTGAATATCTATTAAGTAGAAGGTCTTGTCCAAGGATTTCCAGTTATTTGCATGCTGGACAGACACATCCTATTATATTCTCTCCGTCTGCCTTTTAGGCTTCCCAGATCTTTATCAACTAAAAGAGAAAATAGCACAGAAATGAAAATCCTGGATTTTCAGGGACAGTGAACTTGAACTTGTTCCCCTCTTGCAGATTGTGCCAGTAGTTCTCATTTGCTACATAAACTCAGTTGACAGTTTATCATATACTTACATTAATTAGTCACTTAAAAAGTGGGCTGGAAAAAAATTCTTCTTTTGAAAGAGACTAGATCAACATACACTATTTCTTAATCATAACCAGAACAATAACTTTAATAAACTTTTAAAAATGAAGACAGCACTAAAAACAGATACGATTGCTTGACATGTAAAATCACATGTTAAGGTATATCAAAATACACCTTTCAGAAAAAAATTATGAATGAGACTGTTATGGATATTAAAACTTCTGAAATACGATTTTCACAGTGTTGGCTTTGTGGCTTTCCTAGAGAAAAAAACAGCTCCCCACCCCCACACACAGTGGTCAGAGTCGCCTGATATCTCTTTACATTCCTGTGCTGGTTACCCAATGCCACTCTGACAAGAAAACACCACAAATGGGATGCCTTAACAAACAGGAGTTTATTCTTACAATTTGGAGGCTTTAAATCCAAGTTCAAAGTGCCAGGCACTAGGGGCTGTGTGAAAGTCCCTCAGCCTTGGGCTTCAGCTCTGACTCTAGCTTCTAGCCCACTGAAGCTAGAGGCTTTTCTTCACTCAGGCAGCGACTGGCTGCTGAGGCTAACAAGCCCAGGGTCGACAAATAAAATGGCACAGTCCCAATATTGCCAAACCACACAAAAGGCCATTAATTCAAGTCCATCGTAAGTTCCAAGGTTGGCAGAGCATGTCAGGCTGCTGAACAGTGACAAGGCTAATGCAGGGTCCAAGTGTGCCATAAGCTAGAGACTATCCCCAAGGCTTCTTCTTATAAACAGGAAGCAGACCACATCCCAAAGACAGCTACTCAGCTGCCTGTGGTAGATCCCACCTTGGAGTTGATTGCCAGTCTCATCATGGGGAATATCTACCACCAGCTACCCAGCCACTCAACCAGGCCCAGCCAAGTTGACATGCAAACATAACCACCACATTCCCCTAGTTGCAACCCATGATAGATTAAAGGAAAAAAGCAATCACAATCTTAAGTAGAATGAAACTTATCCTTTTTTTTTTTTTTCCTGGGAAGAGAAAGAGAAGTGAAGTGGGCAGGAGATAAAGTTAAGCCAAAAGACAGACAGGTAGTATACAGCACGTGGGGCTTAACTTCTAGAAAGACATATTTGAAGGGTGCAAATTAGTTTTATTGCTACTGGGGCTGGGGTGTTTATGAAGTGTGAGTGTGTGAGTATGTCATGTGTGTGTAAATGAGAGAGAGCAAAAGCAGGTGGATGTGTGCATGTGTATATATATATATATATATAT